GTTTCAGCGTGTGGTCTCCGTGGAGGAGGCTGGTATCCAACAAAAGCTTGAATAGCGACAGTCATATGGCCCCGAGAGCTTATTTATCTAGATCTCTGCACTCCATAACTGCTGTTTTTATTTGAGACAACAGTGTGTTATTCGGGGGGGGGGGGGGGGGGCAGAGAGCTGAAGGATCCGTGAGAGATGACTGTTGACATTCATGCGATGCTCTGTCAGCCAAATCCACAATGGAGCTGGATACAGCTTGGGAGCAGGAACCAGTATGACAAACACCTGTCAGCGGCATGGAGCGTACCACGCGTCAGGCGAAATGGGGAGGAGCCAGGAGAAGATGACGCGTGGGAACATCGCTCTCCCCCCTTCCAGAGGATTCCTCGGGAGGCGCCGAAGAACGGTGTGAAGGTGCACGGGGACGCCAGGCCAGCCACCTCAGGCGGACCCGCCCACTGGGCCCCACCCCCTGGGGCCCACATTAGTTTCTCCCAAACAGCCCGGAGAAACTGGGGCAGTTCCACGGCAAGAGTAGTGAAGGGGGTGAGCAGGTGATCCAGGGCACTTTGCTACACCTCACAGTAAATTACCATCTTTACTTTTATCCACTTAGTTGACAAAAATTGTTCTTCCTGTTCATTTAAGTACCTTCCTAAAATGGACGTCCCGCAGTGGCGAGAGCTGAATATGCTAATTTAGCGCTACTTTAAAAATGAGTGCAGACGGAATTCAGAAGACAGCAGAGGCGTAAAAATTCTACAGAATTTAGAAATAAAACTTAATACAGGACAGTATGTGTTTATACAGCATCTCTCTCCAAAGCGCCCAAACATCCAATACCAGATTGGTCCAACTCCTCCACCACTACGCCAACCTGTTGGAGAATCATACCCAGGCTGTGGCTTTGGTCTAAAACCCTCTGGATGGTTGTGGTCACACAGTGAGCAGGGATGAGGTGGAAGCAATCAGAAAAAAGTCCTATTCAAACTCAGACGTCAAGCCGCAGGTATGAGACAGTGTTTAAGGAACAAGCTGGTGTTTCAGTCTGGCTGCTGTGGGACCCAAAACTAAGGAACTACAATCTCTTTATAAAGCAGAGTGTTTCTGGGTAACTGGACAACTGTCCACTGCACAAGCTACTTTGTTTGAAGGAACCTGTCACGACACTAAAACACAAGAGCCACCCTGGAGATATAGAACGCCAGCCCTCCACAGGAGGGGACAGTTCCCAGGACGGTGAGCAGCCCACAGAGTGCCCTAACCGTAACCGTAACCTTAACACTCGCACACAGACTCCTAACACGCTCACCAGCACCACAACGGCAAAATCCACAGAGAGAAGCATCCACGTAGAACCAACGGGGTAACAAAAGTCTGAGTAGCAGTGATGGGACTCCACTGTCCCCACCCCCCCCAAACTGCTCCAGCACGAGCCCTCCCAGAAGCACTCTCCTAATGCCGTGTTCAGTGACTAATCATCCAATAGTTAGCAAAACTTTGGAAGGACTGAAAAACGACGGAAGGAGCAGCGGCCACAAAAGCGACAGCACCGCACCGATCACACGGACACAGCTCTGCCGACACATGCCACGGTGCCCCCCGGTCCCCGGTCCCTTACCGTGGTGGTTGTGCTGCGCGTTCTCAGCCATGGGGGGGTCGTTGGCCCCCAGTTCGGCGAGCCGGCGACTGGTGGAGCTCAGCTCTGAGCGCAGGTTGGTCACCTCCTGGCTGGCCGACTGGATTGCGCCGTCGATGCGCTGGGCCAGCTGCTTGTTGTCATCCATCATTTTCAGGATTTTGGCCTGAGGAAGGAATCCACATGGGGTAGCATGTTGTCAGGGTGGGGGGGATAAGGGGGGGGGGGATCAAGCTGAAAACTGTCTACCCCCGGTCTTCTCTCCTGATTTGCTATTATTGTTTTATGACAGTAAATAAATCCCCAGAGTTTCACTCCTCGTTCTCCCGGCTACTCCTGTGCCTGGAGGAGGGACGCGTCAGTCCCCCCGCGGCCCCCGGACACGCGTGTGCAAGCCCGCAGCAGGGACGGCGCGGCAAGGCAGAGCAGCTGCAGTGTGAGAGCGCCGACGCCTCCCCTGCATAATGCGCTCGCGGCCGCCGCGCGCTGAAAGGACACAGTGCAACGGGAGACGACAGACGCCTTTTTTAAATGGACCGTACCATCTGCAGGAGAGCTGGGGGGGGGGGAGGTGGGGAGGGAATGGACTCATGTAACTCTTACTAACTGTAGATGGCCTCACCCAAGCACGGTGGCCTTCCCTGAAAGGTGGGACTCATCATGAATGGCGAGACGGGGGCCGCGGCTCTGTTCTTCATGCTGCCTTCCGCTAATCAGTCAGCTTGCTTACAAAGAAAAGCAGTGTTCCGAACTCCCGGCAAACACTGTTAGCCCCCAGACCTCCCACCCTCTCTCTCTCTCTCTCTCTCTCTCTCTCTCACACTCACACACACACACTCCTCTCCTTTCATTACTTATTCAGCGCTTTGTTGCCCCACAGCTTTCTGGGGGGGTAGGGTGGGAGTACAGCCCGATAATGCAGGAAAGGAAAACATTTAAACTGGATTACAAAACTTTGGGAAGTATACAAAAAGTGTTGTTTTCCACTGCTATCTGATACAGGTCCTACAATATTATTTTGTGTGTGTGTGTGTGTGTGTGTCAGAGAGAGAGAGCGAGCATGTTTAGGAGTGCATGTCTGCCAATCACCATGTTAATATGTTCAAAACCCCTTTGGGCCAAATCAGATTCCCAATTTAATGCACGAAGTTCAGATAACACACCAGATGACTAATACTGCAATATCTAGAATCATTTGTCAGAAGGATTCATTTGAACAGCCCCCCCCGCCCCAATCTTGGTTTTATCTTACTTTACATTTAATATAAATTTCATCACGTATTTAATGGCATCATAAAAGTGTAAAAGCGTGTCACTTTAGCCGGCCATATTGATAGCATTGGAAAGGAGATTAGAGACGCACACAGGGTACAACGCCGAGCTTGGTGAAGGACCAGAGCCAGGATTAGCAACGTCTCCATATCACTCGCAGGCATTAAATGAGGGGGCTATATTTGTGCCAGTATAAAAGAGTGCGTGTACAGGAGCTGAACTGCTGCGGAAGGCAAGAGCTCTTAAAAGGGGGGGGGGGGATCGTTTTACAGGTGACACAATGCACAAAGCGTTGGAAAAGTTCCAATAAATAAACCCAACACTGCTTCACAAAAAGCATCTCGGTGGGTCGGGCTTCAGTGCTTGGCTGCGCTCAGTATCGAAAAACAGAGTTTGCAGGCAACTTGCTGTAATCATGCAACACGCTCTGCTCCTCTCCTGCACGTCCTGGTTACTTTGTCTTGTATTTATCTGCTGTCCAGCCCAACTCAACTAACAGAGTCACAAAGATTCAGAAACTTTGTCTATTACCAATGATGAAAATTCTTAGGTTACGCCTCACGAACAACAAAGAACACATACGATGATGCAAGACTCACCTAAAAGTACATTAAAGCACAATCACCTCCATGAGAAAATAAAAACAAGTACCCATTGTCTCAAAAGGTAGCAGCAGTCTATGTATCCTGTTTTAAATACTGAAGTGGATATGAAAAGCATAAAACAAAAAAACCTAAAAAGACCTCCAATAGCGAAGGACTCGCATAAAATTCCCCTAACTTCCCAATCGGGACGCTGCTCAGCAAGTCCTGGCTCTGAGTCCTATAACTCCTCCGTATTTCCCTCCCTCAGGAGATCTGGCTGCAGGTGAGTCCCCCACGCTACCACACACTCTCGGCAAACTCCACAGAAAGCGATTAGGCAGGAAGCCTGGATACGGAGCCCGGCAAGCCGGCTCGAGCAGAGACCCGGCGAAGGAACCGCTTAGGAGATGCCCTCATTCAGAGCGGCTCGCATCTTAGTCAGCTTTTGCATGGGGCAGATCTACAGATCCCATGGTATCTCCAACCTCTATGTGTCCCTGTGTCTCTAAAATATGTCCCTCTCTGCTACTCACTGCCAATAGGGGGCGGGGGGTCACTTGACAGGCTGTTCTTCAGGCTGGCTGAAGCACTAATAAACGTGATGATGGATTTGCTTTGAGGATATCTGTGTCTCAGCCCCCCACCCCATAAGTGCATCAAGGACCCCCCTCCCTGGGGTCTCCTAGGGGTTCAGCTGGACTCTCCACACCGCTCTGGGCTCTTAATAAGCACTGGGAGGCCCCTGAATTACCATCTGAATGCACACACACACACACACACACACACACACACACACACACAGAGCTGTAGCTTTACGGTACCATCGTCCTGCCCAGAGTGACAAAACAGGGCCTCAGTATTGGGGGGGGGGTGCTCCTTCCAGGGAATCAGGGCTGCAGCTGCAGCCTGGCACCAAACAAATGGACATGGCCACTTCCGTCCCCCCCACCACAGCCAACTCACTGGAGGCCTCACTCAGGGCCCCCCCCCCCTCTCCTCCTACCCCCACCACTCTGGGACCATCTTAAAGAGGCAGGATTGAGGCCGACTCAGTCCATAAATCCATATCAGGCAACAAATCAGCATTTCATTTCTTACAGCATTCAGAATTTTTGCATCAGAGTCCCAACAGCTCCAGCGTGCCATTTACCCACAATGCATCTGAACTCAGGCGAACTTCCCAGTCTGTCAGGACACAATAAAGAGGAACCTGGGCTGGCATGCATGTGACCCACCAGGTTCAGTACTGGGCTCCCATGAACACTCATGTCACTCAGAGATAGCGTCAGCTTATTATAAAACTACCGTTACAACCCCAAATATGCAGCCCCAAGTATGCAAGTATGTTAGACCATAGCAAAAACAGAAAGGTTCCCCAGCTGCTGTACAGTCAATAAGCCTATTTAAGTCATAAGCAAACTGGCAAATAAATCCCTACTTCACAAAAAAGGCCAGAACAACGTACAGGCATGACGTGAGTCCAGAAGTGTATACAATGACAGCAAGAACCCCAGCTGCTGCTTTCTTCTCTTTTCTTTCTCCCTCTTGCAAAATCAGCCAATCCTTTCATATTAGAGCAAACCAATAGCCTGGGGACCCACATATTGGCCCCGCCTCTGGGAAGACAATCCATCCAATCCGATACATGAATTACAGGGATACAAATGAAAATGGGAACCAAAGACGAAGGTCGTGACACTACACACTTTCTTTTAGTAACTTCCATCAATGAATTGAGGGCAATAACATAATACAAGCTCCAGATCTGGCACCACATTTCTCATGTCAGTATTAAAATTATTTGCACTGGAGCAAGAATACTTCCTGTTTATTTCAAATCCCAGAGTGTCAAACCAAAGGGCTTCACCTATGTCTCCCTAAACCAGGTATACACAGATTCTGGACTTTGGACCAAAGGTCTCAGAATTTTAAAAGCAGGGTAGAGGCAACATCCTGCAGCCACTAGTTATTTTGAAAGGTTATTTTATCATAATGGGGGGGCAACAACATGTGCTTTTGAGGAGAATAAGCAGTGATGTCATTAGGTCTGAAAGTTAGAACGTTCTGAACGACGTTGCAGAAAGGCTGCCTCGGCCTGGTCTTTGGACAGCTGGCAGGCTCCTGAGTTATACGTCTCCTTGAGTCTGTACCTCCACTGCAGTAGAAGCCTTCTCCTCGCTCCCTGCTTTCCCGCTCCGCTCCATCATCCGAATCCACATCAATCCTGTGGACACGGAGCATTCTGCACCAAGACCCTCTAAGCCCTTCACCAAAATGGGCTCTTCCAGAAAAAAACTGTTGACATTAAACATGCTAAACGGACACTGTAAATAAAAAGTAGAAGAACATAATTTGCACAGTTTTTTTTTTTTTTAACTCGGGTTGCAAAAGTGTACCCTCCCTCCCCCCAACCCCATTTTCAGTTATTGTCGGGGGGGGGGGCTCAGCAGCCATGGTTGGCTCACCAGCTGTGCCCCTGCTCATTTCGAAGTTGCATTCCCAATCTACCACACCCAATAATCACCCCGCTGTCAACCGCTAACAGATGGGACCCCCCCCGGCAGGCTGAATTAACGACATTTTAATTGACGAACGGCACCGAAGGTTCGAGGGGCTCGAAACAAGCAGCGATGTTCTCCTTCATACTCCACAGAAATCCGGGCAAGGTAGTACTGCATGAGTTCTGGGTAGCCGGCGTTATTTACAAAACTAATACTAACAGTGCAGTATTTGACCCAGAGCGAGAACTCCTCACTGAAGCGCAAGGTGTCTCCTAAATTGAGAAACTTCCCTCCGCTTTCAGGTCGGTGCATTAGGGCTTTGTGTTTACATCATGTGGTCCTCTCAGTGCACCCCTGAGATGCTGCACCTGATCCCACATCATTAACCGCGGCGGCCGTACGCATCCCAAAGCCCCCAGGAGTCTCCAGCTATTCATGGACGCCCACACAGGCGTCTGACATTCATTAGCACAACAAATAAAAAATGCACTCAATTTACTCTGGCCAGAAGAATATTTCAATTACTGTTACAGAATAAAAAAAATCTTCACAAGGTATGTGAAGCCAGTCTTTCAGGCTGAAAACAAAAGATGATTTTCGTCTCGGCCGTGAGGAGACTGAGATCCATCTCAGACACCGACGCCCATCTCAGAATGCAAAATTCACCCTGCACAAAACGTCCAGGTAGATAGAGTCCCACCATGCAAGACAAGGGCCATGAAGGTGTCCTGGCTGGGGGGGCCATAGTGTTGCAATGGAACAGAGCAGTTTCTTTGCTTGTGAACTTTACCAACATAACCAAAATCACA